AATATAATATAATTAAAACAACATATAATTTTGTCGTCCTAAGATATTGAGTGCATATAAGTTGCACAATTTTTAAAGCCTAACATTAGTTTCTCTAATAGATGAAGGAAACAAGGCAAATGTGAAGGAAACGAGAGAAACGTGAAGGAAAGAGAGGCATTAAGGATAGAAAAAAGCCTCGCTAAAATATATTATCCTTTTATTCGAATAGCAATTACAACGCTCTTCAATGGACCACTGACATTTTTTCTTTTTTGCTAAACTACATCAGTAGCATACCTTGCTAATTCTCTGAACATACGAATTTCTTCAAAAACGACCTCTCCGACTTATACTTGTCAATAAAGTGTTTAGCGATTACAAATCCTTACGAAACGAGAATCTGTAAAGTCTGAACGCAAACAATACAAACGATACTATCGTTGGAAGTACACGTAAGCATCGATCAACTCGTCACGATGGGCATACCGTTTTATGTGATAACTGGCAATGGGTAGGCACGTATGCATTGATAAATATGCAATGCATTGCATTATTTATCAAATTTTCATCTAGAGTCAAATCCTAATTAAATTCTTCACGCCCTACAAACATAAAACATGATGTCTTTGGTCTAAAAAAATAAACAGATATATCACACAAGAATATTCAAGCTTACCTACAAAATTATCTTTGTTGCAAAGAAAAGATTCATTGTTTTCAAATGCTCGATGTATAAAGACAATCGTCACATATTTCGCTAGGTATACTTTGTACGTATGTATTAAAACTCTTTATATATTCAATATAAATAAATAAATGATTAACTCCGTGACTAAATGATAAATTTTGTACAAACAACTACCGAAATCGTTTATACAGCAAAGATTAACTATATTAGATATTTGAAATGATCACAGTAAAAGTATGTATATATGTGTATAAAATATGTATGTGTATGTATATATTACTGGTTTCCCTAAACACATATTGCAGCTATTAATAAAGTGGAAATTGATCTCGGTTTTTCTAAAAAGTTCTATATGATGTGTGTCAATAAATCATTCTTACAAATGTATTTCAATAAGAAAAAATACTCTTGATTTTATTCGCTATTGTAGCATGGTAACTCCCATAAACATTACATAAAATTGAATAGTCTTACATATTTGTATACTGTTTGATATTATATTTATAGAGCATGTTCTATAAAATATTATTTCCCTACTTTATTCTAAAAATCTCTATAAATTCGATATTTTTCAGATACATAAAGGATTTTCGATTTGGCATAAGTTATTCATTGCATGTAATTTTAATATTACCCTTTTCATTTATCATTCAATATAATCTAAACTAAAAAATCAACATAAAAATATTCGATAATTTTTTCATCACTTTCAATTCAATTATTTAGCCTCAATATTTTACAACAAATTTGAAGCGTAAAATCCGATTCAATGAACAAATAAATGATGCAAAGAATGCACATTGTGCAAGAAAGGACTATTGAATTTATGTCTTCCAAAACTTACCACTGACTTTGATACATTTGACCTTCTGTAACTTCTTCTTTTCCGATAGCACCGGCATAGCTTCTCTACTCGATTCGCTTCCTCCTGCGCCAGAACTACCGCCAGCTACATCAGCTTCTTGAATGCTACTACCTCCTGCTTGAGCCGCGAGAGATTTCTTTATATTAGTAATCTAGAACATAATAGAAAAGAACCCATATATAATTGCATATATATTTAAATTTCTAACAATTTATAAAACAAATATATAACCAAATATATAAACAAATAATTAAAGAAAAAAATATAACTCACATCTCTCTGTATTCTTTCTTTGTGATAAGTAGCTTTTTGTTTCTCAACATTAGCTCTAGATATTTGATCCTCGATACAAGATAAAACCGTATCGCACGCTTCACCCCAAGCTGCTAAGGTCTCAGCTACTACACCAGTATCACCTGGTCGAACGTCTCGTCCCAGACCGGCATAATCTACTTCTAACTGTGAGTTTTTTTGATCTAATTTTCCATGAATTATGTCTGCGTATATTGCTTCAATAATCAAATCCTCTAGATCTCTGACATTCTTTATATCTAACTCTTCCAACAGTACCGAATAAGGTATACATTTGTTTTTTGTAGCAAGCGTGACAATTGTAAGATGTTGAAGCTTCTTTTTTTGCGTAGGAGTTAACTCTAATACTTTCTCCTTATTTTCCAAATAATCTTTATAGGTGCCATATGCAAACAAATTCAAAGTATTCCAATATTGAACATAAGGTCCATTCTCCAACTCTTTGATATTTGGCATGTCCAATAATTCACCAAAAACATGAACACCAGGTGTTTCAACAGCTTGCCTTATGAGTTCTATGGCAGCAGCGCCTTTTGCAGTTTTTGCAAGCAATACAAACTGCTCTAAAGGATTATTGGCTGATTTTTCAGTGCTGCTTCCACCAGTCATGCTGACTTCTATAAAAATAAATAATATATTTATGAATAAAACACTCATGAATAGCAATATACCATAATATATATACACAAAGGCATTAGTGCTTTAACACATGAATTTAGGCGCATGTATTTAGAAATCAATATATAAAAGATGCATATATGCTTGGATATGTTGATAAATTCATGTGTTAAAACATTAATGATTCCTATGTACATACTATGAAAAGATAGATAAAATTGCGAATACAACAGACACTATATGAAAAAATCTGTTTGTTCTTTTGGTAACAAAACTTAGTAAACCGAATACTCTTTTGTATAATTGTTCGATTTTAAAAAATTGGAAAATACAAATTCGCATTTATGTGTCACATTACGTGCGCATCAATGGTTAAACGGCATGCAATGTGACGAGATATATATAATCGAAATTAAATATATCATAATAACATAATAGATAACTAATTCACCTTCTCGTTATTAGCAACACCCTAACGAGTCTTAAAACTGACCACAACTTTTGGCACCGTCTAGGATGAGACTAGAGTTTTGAATTATGAAAAGATACAAAAGGTGACAAGTGCGCACCAACAACACTAATAAATAAACACCTTCAGTTTTAATGCACTTCACTCGGCACTCGGCGTCGCAAATATTTAGAATCGTTTGTATGACCAATCAAAATGGGCAAAGATTTCTTCGTCCTTATTGGTTAATCAAACAATTTAAATTTATGATGTCAAGTGGAATGCATTTTCTAGCGTGATATTACATCTGCTTTACGAGTTTATCGATTGGCTACCGTATAGAAAATATCTTAGGGATCGGAAAGTTTCCTGCAATAACAGCCAATCAATATCTCCGACAAATAAAATACCACCAGAGAGAAGTCTGATTATTTTTACACATAATATTGGCGACACTGTTTCTTACAAGTTGGAAACGGTTTGAGGTTAAAATCCATTTATAATCCCAACATATAAGTTATCGATTAAGTGTCTTTGGCATTTAAACAACCAAAACAATACGAAGACGATCACGTATTTATCCTGCAAATGTAACAATGGTGAAGAATAAACTGACGACGTGTTGTAGGTTAAGATTTCATCGAAGTTTCGTTGTGCCGTCAGTGAATAATATCCAGGAGCAATACTGACTCGACAAAAATGAGCAGGCTATGGAATTACTTAGTATTTCAGGCATGGATGGCTTACTTGATGGCAGCTGGATTGTTAGTCTTCACGAGTGGCTTCCTCCTTAATCGCGTCTCCAGGCCGGAACAGGCCGAATGCACACAATGCACAGTCAATGCCGGTTGCGACATGGCAAACATCTTCCAAGACATGGAACATGCCGCTAAAGTGTGCCTAGAGCGCAGAGCGCGGGTCGTGCTCTTAATCGTCGATGCCTTGAAGTACGAGTTCGCGGAGTGGTATGAGAACACTGCCTCGATGTTCTCCTATCATCGCAACAAGTTGCCTGTAATTCACGAATTACTGCAGAAATATCCATCGCATTCTCGCCTATACAAATTCATAGCCGATCCACCTACCACGACTATGCAACGTCTCAAGGGTCTTACGACAGGTTCCTTGCCTACTTTTATAGAAATAGGCTCGAACTTTGCCTCGGAGTATATTCAAGAAGACAATCTCATTGACCAAAACGCTGCCGGAGGTATCGTTTTTATGGGAGATGATACGTGGACCAATTTATTCCCGAATAAATTTATGAGACAATTCCCATCGCCATCGTTTAATGTCTGGGACCTGGACAGTGTAGACAAAGATGTCCAATACCGTATTTTCTTTGAGATGAAAAAGAAAGATTGGTCGTTACTGATAGCGCACACACTCGGAGTTGATCATTGTGGACACAAACATGGCTCGCAGCATCCAGAAATGACGAGAAAATTAAACGACACAAATACACTTATAAAGGAGATTGTAGCATCTCTTGAAAAAGATATGATGCTTTTTGTTGTTGGAGATCACGGAATGACCGAAACAGGCGATCACGGTGGTGACAGCTTGAATGAAGTTGAGGCTGCAATGTTTGTTTACTCGACAACTCCTTTGATGAAAGGATTTGCGATTAATAATGATAATAGTGTGAACCAAATTGATCTTGTTCCTACTCTGGCATCGATTCTTGGCACACCAATCCCTTTTTCTAATTTAGGTTCCATAATACTAAATTGTTTGCCAAATAATGTAGGAGATACTGCTGGTCAGTTATCATATCTATTACACTCTCTATGGAGAAATATTGCCCAAACAAAAAAATACATAGAGGTATATTCCGCAGATACATATTTATTCTCAAAGGAGCAGCTTCAGCATTTAGATTATGTGTATAATCTTCTTGCCGAACGAATTAAATATATCAATAGTTTTGAAAAGCTAGAGACTTTTGTCGGAGATACCAAAGGTTATTTTAAATTATTGAAGGACACATGTTCTGAAGTATGGGTCCAATTTGACTCCGGTCTAATTTCCAAGGGTTTACTTTTGATGTTTTGTTCCTTGTTTTTCTTTTATCTCTTCATCACTGGTATCCCCGAAAATCGTATGTGTGATATATTTAAATCTTCATTCTTACAATGTGCCATTATAGCAAATTTAATTACTGCAGCAATTACTACATGTCTGTTCTTGTTGAATGTTTTAGAAGAATTTAGGAATACAACTTTTTTTGCCACTGGTGCAATTTCTATTTTTTTATTGGTTATAGTAATTGCTCAAAACTGGGATGTTATATCAATGTGCTGGTATGATCATCGTAGAATTAAGCTGTTGACTTATGTAACGAGGATAATACTTCTTCTAACAGTATGTGGGCTTTTCTCAAACAGCTATATAGTTGAAGAAGACAAAGTCTTATCTTTTCTATTTGTTACACTTGTTTGCCTGTTCATTTTTAATTTAAGAAAGAATGATTCTGATAGTACTTTTGAAAAGAAAACAAGGTTTATGTCAAAACCATCAAAACCAAATTTCAGGACAATTGTACTAGTTGTTGGTTTATTAGCATGTATTTCAGTGAGATTATCGCATTATTTCTGGCGCTGTAGGGAGGAGCATTTACAACGGGAATGCTCTATGCTAGCAACTGGTAAAGTTGGCTGGTCTACAATGCCGAATAACTGGGAGCGTGATCTATTTGCTGTCTTACTTGCTTCAATTATTCTGGCATTGTATGTGGTAATAGTTAGACTGTGGTTGCAAAGTTGTGGAAATCTCACAGGCTTTGCTCCTAGCGTCATGGTAGGACAGTATTGTCCGGTTATTGTAAGCGTCTGCATGGCTTGCTATTGGATTCTACAAAAGCTCCCGAAATTTGTCAAACCGAAACTTGCTCTGTCCTGGGAAATTAATACGTTACCTAACGTAGTTTATTTCTTCTGCATATTTGCGATTCTCGTTCTCTACTATCGTCCACTCAGTATATATCTGTTGCCAAAGAAGAAGGAATCCATCGACGTTTACCGTGACGAAAACATAGTGCCTCGGTTATTTGAAAAAATAAAAGATTCGATTTCTCGCAAACGAATAGATGCCGATGAGCTTCCAGTCATTTACGGTTTCGGAACTGCCTATAGTGCTGCATTTATCTCATTAAGTGTATTCCTCACACTTCTCTATGCATTATTGTTGGGAGATACTCTATCGCCTGGTACATTTTTGATGTTTGTAACATGCACTTGTGTATTGGGATTGTCCGCGATAGAGAGATACAAAAATGCTAATAATATTTGTAAGTATACACGATATATAGATTTTGCATATTATTTATATATTTTTGGATAACTTTTATGTATATATTACTACAGCTGAACTGGTTGATGTATCTATGCCTGTGCTATTTTGCTGGTTCTTATTAGCTGAATATTTCTTTTATGGAACTGGTCATCAGGCGACATTTCCTACTATTCACTGGCATGCTGCCTTTATAGGAACTGGTGGTCACTTTTATGGAAACTTAGTGTCAGCAATTTTAATCGGTAGGTATATCGAGCTACAGTCTTTCTTAAAACCGCTGTTAACTATAGTTCTGACGTACACAAAACATTTTGCAGGTATCAATACATTCGGATCGCATATTATATTGGGTGCGACATTACCACTATTAGTGGTCGTGCCATTTACGTTGCATCGGGTATTTCCTAAATTTCTTAAAGCAAAATTTCTTGATGATATAAAGAGAGGTGAGCTTCTTCTGTTCGAACAAGACTCTGCCTTCCATGCTGCAATCTTTTCGGTTGCAGGAAAATATACATTACTTCATGGAATCCGGGTATGTATACATCCAGTTATGTATAAAATATATAAAATTGAACGCATATTTGTTTCTTATCTTCTCTAAAGAGCATTTTTTGCGCGTGCACGCACACAATATACACAATACATATAATACACATGTATACACACATGTATATATACCTATATTATTAATTAGACATTGTATTTCTTTTCTAGACTTTCGGCAGTATGCTCGCAGCAACAATACACTGTCGGCATCTAATGATTTGGAAGATATTTGCACCAAAATTAATATTTGAGGGATTAGGATTTCTGGTAACATTGGGTAGTGTACTAGCATCGTTCTACATGGTGTTTCGCATTGATCAACAAATGGAATACCTCATCACCAAAATCACAAAAAGCAGATGATAGTGACTTACTCTTAAGGGTGTATAGTACAATCAATAGCTAAGTACCAAAGTTTCATAAAAACATTTCACTTTTGCGTTAAATCCGAAGATGGCTCTTTACTTATGGATATAGTGATTTGACATATTATAATATGAAAAATGAAACATACGAGTCTATGCTTACGATACTGCCAATATTTCCACAATTTTATATGAAAGTGTAACACAAAAAAAGATAAATATAAAGTCACACATATATAAATATATAAATATATA